CAGGATTCCTACGAAAGGCAAGGAGCCGCCGTCGACGTCTCCCTGTTCTTTCTTTCCCCCTAAAAACCAACCATCAACCAATCGAACAAACGAGCAGTTCCCTCCCGGGTACGACTGTCTGCAAGACGACTGCATCTAGATACCCGGGTACCTTTTAGGTACACTGTACCAACAATCCGACCCGTGTACATGTACTCTTATAACGGAGAGAGAGAGATTTTTAGAATCTTACAACGAAACTCCCTCGCACGACACTGGGCACGGGACTGGCGCGCACTGGCACGAACACAGATTTTTAGAAGCCAACAAGAATTCTATAACGGCCAGCGCGAAGAAAAGGCAACGGGCGCCCGCCCCCCCGGCCGGGGCCTGCAGCCTCGTTTCAGTCGCGTGTAGTCCGCTCGCCAGCCCAACGTGCCGAACAGGGGCGCGTTCTGCTGCTTGCTCGGAATCTCGACGACGGCTAGCCACATGTCCGAGCCGAGGTCGCATGGCCGGGCACACCAAACGGACATGACGCTCTGAAACATTTTCGGCGTGTTGACAAACACGTCGCCGACTCGTCCTTCGATCCCTCGGGAAACGCGTAGATTTGCAGGCCGTTTGACGCGTTGATGGCCCACGCCTCTCGGATGTCAGAGCACACAGCGAGTTGTCCGTGTGCTCGTCCTCCGCCGACACATAGTTGAAGCCGGGAACCCTCTTGAAGTCGGAGACGCGCAGGTCACGCAGGTCAACCGACGAGGGCTTCTGGCTCTTGAACATCTTCATCCGGTAGGCCATGGTTGGCGGGCGCTCCGAAAGAAGAATTTTACAATTTCCGAAAGAAGAATCTTACCCGTGCCCAGTGTTGTGCGAAAGAAGAATTTACCGGCGAACGCCGGGATACGCGCGGCGGGGCTCCAAAAGAAAAATCCGTGGGACACATAACAGCTGTTATGAGGTTGTTATGCTGGCTGTCATAACAACCAGTGGGATGTGTTATGAGTGTTATGAGGTGTTATGAGGTGTTATGAGGTGTCATGGTAGGGTGGGCATAACAGCCATAACAGCGATGGATGTGTTATGAGGTGTTATGAGGTGTTATGAGGTGTTATGAGCAGCCAGCCATAACAGCCATAACACCTGTTATGGCCGCTCCCATAACCTTGACTGGGGTCAAATGCGCGCGCTGGCGCGCAGCGCGAAGAAGAACAGAACAACGGCACGCGAATAGGCGAGATCGCCGCGAGATCGCATGAGATAGAACGAGATGCTGGATTGATATCTGGATCGCCCCAGATAGATCTAGCACGTCAATCTGATGAAACATTCCCGCTAGACTAGGGGTAAATAGGTAATAGGGAACTGAGTGGGGGGAGTGCGGCGTGAACGTGATCCGTTTTCGGTGTACTCGTTGTACGTCTCTCTCTCTCTCTCTCATTGTGGCGGACTGTAATTAGCCTATAGCCTACAGACTATGGAGCTATGGGATCAATCGATGGCCACGCCAAATTCCGAATCAACGACCCCCGCCATCACTCATTCGCCCCCACACTGAGCACCTTTGCCACCGGTCTAAAGTCGGAGATGCACGCCCGCTCCCACCCCTGCCTCCGGCCCCGGTAACGACCACCGGTTGGTGGTGCCAGATCCAGAGAGGCGGCAGCGTGCTTAGCCACCGCGGCCGCGTCCGCCCCGGCCGCCGGTGTGGGCAGCGAGATGTGGGTAAAGTAGGAGCTGTGGTTGTGCGGAAAGTCGGGGTCGACCCACTGGGCCCCCGCCTTCTCCGTCGCCGTCGTGACGGGCGGCCACACCTAGTGTGGTCACTCACCACAGCTCGTGACGGCGAGCGCTGTCGAGGGCCCACCCAATGCGCGATGGGGGGAGCGGCGCGGCTCTAGGTACGACGCGCGTGCCTTGCAGTTGCACGCGAGGGGCAAGCCCGCGTCTGGGTCGAACTGCACCAAGTTGCCCTTGAGGCAGACAGGACGGCGCGCCCCGCCCACCGCCTTCATCACAGCGGGCCGCGTGAATCACGCGCGCGGTTGGAGAGCTGCAGCCCACACGCCACTCGTGTGAGGTCGTGAAGCTGCTTCATCTCGGCCAGATCTCGGCTGCCTCTCGGCTACGTCTCGCCCGCGCGTGCTTGTTCTGCTGAGGCCGCCCCAGCTCCCCGGCGGCCAGATGCGAGACGCCGCACCGCTCGGCGCCAGAGGCAGCCCCGTACGCGAGCTCGCCTGAATTGACATGTTTAGTCTACTGACTGGTGAGTCAGCCGTTCGGCGGGCCGCCCCGTCAGGCAAGAGCTCGCATGCGAGCCAGAAGGTCTCCTTGTCGCCGTGCAGCCGCGAGTAGTACGCGTGCCGGTGTCGCTCGTGCAGGGCGTAGAGCGCAGCCAGCAGCGGCCCGTTGTCTGGCACGCGCTGAACGGCGGCGGCGGCGGCCCCGGCGGCAGCCCCGGCGGCGGCGGCGGCGGCGGCCCGAGACTTGGAGAGGAGGAGAAGCGACGAGTCGATGTGGTGAGAGGAGGCGCCGCGCCAGAGCGGCGCTCCGAGCAGCGACTCGGACGGCGACCACGGCTGCGACGCGGTCGGCAGGAAGCCAGGGCTCGCGGCGTGCTGGGCGGCGAGCGAGGCGAGGTAGAGGGAGGGCGGTCGGAGGGGCGGCTGGTTGCGAGCTCCGTGGTGCTTGATCCGGTCGCGGAAGAGGAGGGCGCCTAGCACAGAAGGTTCCGAGCAAGTTCGTATAGCAGGGGTTCGAAGGAGGAGGGTGGCGTTCCTGATCCGGTCGGGGAGGGGCGAGCGAGGGCGCCGGCGCGGGCGTAGGCTGGCGCAGAGAAGAGGCGGGTCGGGTCGCGGAAGAGGTATGTCTCGTGGTCGAGGAGGAGGACCTGCTCATCACAGCAGGCGCCGGTGAGAAGAGACGCCGTTCACACCGGATGCCTCGTGTGATCGAGGCGCGGAAGCACCTCGTCAAAGTCGGTGGCGAGGACGTGCCGAGGACGTGTCTAGGAAGTGTCTAGGAAGTGTCTAGGAAGCACCTCGTCAAAGTCGGTGGCGAGGACGGCGAGAGGCTTGCACATGAAGCCGCGCATCGCGCCGAGCTCGCTCGGCGGCAGCGCGGGATGGAGGGCCTCGCGCAAGTCGCGCACAGCAGCGCGCGCCGCCAAGAGGCGACGGCTCCCGGCCGAGTCAGGTTGGCCCAGCTCGCCGACGTGCCAGATCTGCGCGGGCAGTGCGCAGCCCGTGGCGCGCAGCCGCGTGAGCATGGCCAGGGTCTGGTCGAGGAGCCGCGGGGCGGAGCAAGTGAGCACGCCTCGCCCCCCTCCCCCGCCGCCGCCCGAGACAGCGCGGTCCTTCGCCGTGTCCGAGAAGAGCGGCGGCACGTGCGGCCACGTACGGCTCAAACCGCTGCGTGCGCTGAGCTCGCGCAGCGCCGGCGTCGCGTTGTTGGAGGCCCAGGCGCGGGCGGCGGCGGCGAGGGGCGAGCCGGCGCGGCTTGGGGAGCCTCGCGTGGCGTGGGCCGCGGTGAGCACCTTGCCGCCCCCAAAGCAGAGCCTGCGTGCTCGGGCCAACAGCTCCGTGTCGCCGCGGGCCGGGTGCTCGAGCCATGCGGCGAGCGAGCGGAAGGTGGCGTTGAAGCTGGCCCGCTCGAGACTGCGCAGCTCGAGCTGACGCGTCCGCGAGCCCGGACCGCGGGTGACGGTCTGCAGCGCGAGCATGGTCTCGATGGTGTGCGCTGCCCGCCGCGTCTCGATGGCAAGCCCCGCGGCCAAGCCTGCTGTCCGGAGACAGTCGAGGTATGTCCTCGCCGAGGGCGGGCAGCCGAGGAGGCGGAGCCACGGTGCGGCGGGCATCGCGTTGAAGAAGCGTTGCGCAGCGAACTTGTCTCCCGTGGCGGCCGCCGCGTCGGGCAGCTGACAGAGGTCGCGCGAGCAGAGCGAAGAGTTTGTCCACGAAGGCTCCGACCCACGGCGGTGATAGAGGTAGCCCGACGTGACCATCTCGGCAGGGTCGCGGACGAGGTGGACAATGCGTGCGCCGCCGCCGGTCCAGCGCGCGATGTCCTGCGGCTGGAGCTTCAGCACGAGGTGGCAAAGCCCGCGGGCGACCTTCGTCCCGGTCTTGCGTGGCGGCTCCCGCCACGTGTTCTTGGCGACCCTCCTTCCGGATGACCGGCAGAGGACACGCGCGAGCTCCTCTGCGACCTTCGTCCCGGTCTTGTGGTGCGCGATCCAGACCCAATCATCCGGCGCCGCGGGACTCACGCTGGTCTGCATTTGCATGTGTTTGTTGCCTTCGTTGAGATTCACCAAGTCGCTGTTCACAGCTGTGAGCGCTCACAGGTAGGTGTAAGCGGAGCAGCTGAGTAGATACAGCTAATCCTTTGTGTTCACACCTGCAAAGCAGATGTGAACCGATTTCGGCCTTAGCCGTCGGTATGCCAATAGCGTGCTAGCCAAGTAGTACGCAGTTGGATTCCGAGGGTGTCCCATCACAAGTTCGGCTGCCGACAGACAAGATTGTCCCTTAGTCGACAGCACCCGCCTTTGGACGGTGCTCTGACGGGCTTTGCTACTTTATTTTTGTCGTTTTGGTTCGCATGTTCGCATGGCTAGATTGATAGGAATTTTACGATTCTTCTTTCTTCAAAGCTCCCGAGACTGTCACGTGCAAGTTTGGCTGATGGGCAAGAAACGGCGAGGTCTACCCCGGCGAGAGAGCACAAAAGTCGACACACAGAGCACAAAAGTCGACCACAGGGATTTTAAGGAGGAAGAGCGTGAGTCGTTGCGTTTTGTTCTTGCGTGTCCTTTCTTTTCTTTTGCCCCTGCCTGCGGTTTTGTTTGCGGTTTTGGTACTTCCTACCCTCAGTGCTCAGTCCCTACCCGCTCCGCCACCTGGGCAGAAAAACAGCAGAAATAACCAAAAGAAAGAAAGAAAGAAAACGGACAACCCAAGGGAGGGAAATCGAACCCGGAATTCTTTTTCTTTCATTGTGCCACACCTCTCTGTGGCCTGGCGCAATGAGAAAGGCTCCTGTGCCTCTGCCGGCGGCGCCGACCCCCCTGGAGGTGCTTCGCGACGTGCTCCTCTTCCAGGGTGACTACGCCTTCGCCTACTACATCTTCCTCGCCCTGTACTGCGCTGCATGCTGCCGCAACCTCAAGGAGGCTCTGCCGCGCCTCACGTGGTTCTACGCAATCCCGCTGGCGGTGCTCACCTCCTTTGGCGGCGGCATCATGGTGCCCGTGCTGCTTGGCCTGCCCGCGGCGCCGCTGATCAACGAGGCGCATCGCCATCCCCACGCCGGCTCTCTGACCCGCTGACCCACGCCTCCGGCTCCACGCCCGGCGCCGGCCCCTCGGCGCGCCCACGGCACGCCCACCGCTGCTCCGCCGACGTTCGCAGGCGCTGATCCCGACCATGATTATCGCGTGGGCGTGCGTGCAGTACTTGCACCCTGTGCTCGCCCTGCTGCAGAGCCCGTTCGGCCGCGCGGCCTCCAACTCTGGCTTTGAAGTCTTCCGGTACCACGTGCTGGCGATCTGCTCCGACCTCGCCTCGAAAACCCTGCCGCCGGTGTCGACCGGCCCCCTCGCCGGCACACTCTCGTGCGCCCTCGTCGGACCGCTGCTGTGCGGCATGATCGGCGGGTGCGGCGGCGCCTTCATGCCGCTGTCCAATGGACTCAAGGCGCTCGAGCACCCCTTCCGAGACACTTCCGAGACACCTCCGAGACGCTTCCGAGACGCATGGGATGCACCTGCGATGCACCTGCCCTTACGAGGGCGTGTGCGACACTTGCGGTGGCACCAAAGAGACACTCCCGAGACACTTCCGAGACACCTCCGAGACTCTCCTTGTCGCTCGGCTCGAGGCGCTCGAGGGGCCCGACGATCCCGAGACACTTCCGAGACACTTCCGAGACACTTCCTCAAGGCGCTCGAGGGGTCGACGATCCCGTGGCGCGTCCAGTCGTCCGCTGTCATGTCCGCCTGGCGCGCATTGCTCGCGCAGGCGACGCCTCGGCCGACATCACCCGAGACTGAGCCGAGAGTGTGTCGAGATCGTAGGCACCACTTGCTCACACACGACGCGGCGGTGCGAGCGTCGGCGGCAGAGTACGTCCCTTTCCTGGCGGACCCGGCGATGGTCAAGCTGTGCGGCGGCCTAGCATGCGGGAACACGCGCGGCCAGTGTCTCCCAGCGAGCACGCTGCAGACGCCTCTCATGCAGACGCCTCTCATGCGGACGCCTCTCATGCGTCGGTGTAGGACAGAGTCCCAGCCCCATCGCACGCGTGGCCCTTGTATGCCCGCGAGCCGCACTGTACGCGCACGAGGCGCACCGGCACGCCGCGCGCGGTGCTGTGTCCACCCTCTTCAGCCGCGCCTCAACGCACGCTCCAGGTGCGGCATCCTCTTCTTCGCCGGCTTGCCCGCGCTGCAGCAGCTCGGCCTCCTCCCCGCGGGCCTGCTCGGCCCGAACCCCTTCGTCATCAACGCGGCCAAGGTCAAGCGCGCGTGAGTGTCCGGCAGCGGGGGCGGACACGCTCCAGCAGGGACGCACCAGGCAGGGATGGTAAACTGTCGTGACCTCTAGACTTCGCGGTGGCAGTCGCCACGCGCACCTCTGGCAGTCTGGCACTCTCGGGCGCCCCGAGCGCCCGCAAGAGACGGAAACCCACCCTACTGTCTCTCGGCATACCAACGCGCCGCGCCGGGCCGCCGAGACTTGTGGGTCTTGCTCTTGGGACTTGGCCATACACCATGTTGCATGGATTGAGTTTTATGTCCTTTTGGGAAAACACAACACCCCACCAAAATCTGCAAATCAACAGAGGCCCCGCGGCGCGCGGGGCGCGGGGGGCGGGTGGGGGGGGGGGGGGGGCCCCAGTGGGCCCCCGGGGGGAGAGGGAAAAAAAAGCGGCCAGCCGAAAGCGCCCCTGCCCAGCAAAATCGGGGAGGAGCCCTTCCGCTGGTTCCGCTTCGCGGGGCGAAGCCCCAATGTCCAACGCGATGCCTCCTGTCCAACGGGATGCCTTCTACCTGCCCCTGCCGATGGGGATTTCCGGGTCGTAAACCAAATTCACTACCTGCATTTTGCTCCCCGGGGCTCCGCGCAGCCCGGCGACGTAGTTCACCGAACGGGGTGGCGCTGTTCCCGTCGACACGCCCGTGTTTGTGCCGCTCTCCCGCGGCAGGTAGACCTGCGTCTGCGACTCGCGCCGCAAACACGAGCTGGCCGTCTGGCTCGAGGTGGTCACCTTCTGCCGCAAGTTTGTCAGCTGAATCGCGCGGCGGCGCAGCTCCCACTCGTTCCACACGTAGAGCGGGTCGCGCCTCGCCGCCTCAGGGTGCAGCTCCGTCTGCACCGACCCGTCCTGTACCGGCTGCGACGGCGCGAGGAGCGACCCGTCGCTTCGCGAGGCCTGCGAGCCAACAAGCAGCAGCATGTGCGGTGCAAGCTCAGCCAAATCTCGACTCTTGCTGCATCTCGGCAATGCCATTGCTGCAAATCCACTGTTTATCGACCGCATCTCGGCTCTATTTTGACTCATCTCGGGCTCTGTCCCAGCCCGGGTCGCGACCATGGTCGCCAGCACGGTCGTTGAAGACGTCTGACATGAATTTGTAGAGGTTGTCCCTGCCTTCGGTCGTTGGGTAGACCTTGCCGATGTAGTTATGGTACGCTGCAACTGTCGTTGAAGTCGTCTGACATGAATTTGGGTTGCACTTCAAGACGTTCAAGTCTCCCGAATCGTCTATCGTCATCGTCATGTGCATCGGACCGTTCGAGCTCGCACCACCAGCCAACTCGGGGTTGCTGGGGGGGTTGCTTCCATCCAAGCAGTAGTCTGGGTCCGCCGGGTCAGTTGAGCCTGGCTTTCCCCCCGGGGCCGCATCGTAGCAGCCCAGGTTGGTTTTCACATGTGGCACCGGGCACTCCTCCACGAAGTCAACTTCTCCAGAGTAGCCTTGAAGGCCGGTGATGGGCGACCATGGGTCTGAGTACGTCCAAAGTGGTGCCATCCACAAGCTGTCGCAGCCACTCCACTCCACATCGAAATCGATCTGCTTCACCCGCTTCATCGAGTACTTACAGTCGTCCGTCTCCCACACGAAGCAGCCGACCTTGTCCGGCGTGGCGCTCATGTCAACAAAGATCGATGAACGGTCCACCACATCCTTGTCATTCGCACAGGCGAAGCCTGTGTCACCTCGGATGCCCGAATCGGACTCGCACGAGTGGGAGGTCGAAGCTTGCTTCCAGATTGTTCCACTCGGCATTGGCACCTTTTTGGCGCAGGAGCTGAGCCCCGCAGACGGGGACGGAGAAGGACCCGGAGCCGGAGACGGAGACGGGCCAGAGACCTTGCACGGGACGTTGCCCCACGTGACCGCAGTAGACACCGCATCGTCCTCCTTGAGCGTGCCAGGTGCCACTTTGCACACGAGGTAGTAGGAATAATCCGACAGAATCGTGATTTCCTTTGTTGGATCCACAGCGTAGCTGGCCGTATCAGTGTTTGCGTTGATGTGAATCTGCTTCAAGACTCCGTTGTCAGTGTACTTCACAAGCACCGCCTTTGAGTCGACCTCCCCGTTTAGGAAGCGAATGGAGACTTGGGAGGCCGGCGAGTCGAGATCAACCAGGCGGTCCTCCTGCGCGTCGGGCACGGTGAGGATCGGCAGAGCGTTGACGACGCCAGCGCCGACGGCGATCAGCATCAGCTTTGAGAAGATCATTGTCCTGACGGAGACACTCGCGGTGAGGCACGCGTTGGGAACGCGCGTGTCGGCGGTCAGTGGCGGGCGCGGGGCTGGCAGCTCACGATGGATGTGCGATGCGAGACAGTCCTGCAAGGGCCTTTCGACTTCCTGCGAACGTGAGCGGTTCCTTCCAGGACGACTCGAGCCAGGACGCATCCCTCCTTGACCCACTTATCAAATTTTGGCGTATGTAATTAATAGTATGAGAACTCGCCCGAATTCCGGCGTTTCTGACTTCTCGCACACGAAGTGGTTTTGCCCTACCACTGACTTGTGCTCTCTGCCCCCCCCCCCCCCCTAGCATGTGGTGAAGGTGCTCTGCACCCGCGCCGATCC